TTGTAAAAGCCGAAATTGCGCTGCAAATTGTGGGAACCGGGGAAAAGCGTGCAGGGTGTCCCGCGGCAGTCAGGGGCTGCGCCGCAGGGAGGAGGGGGAGCACCTGGGTGAGGAGCTGGCTGGAAGGCAAGGGCCTGCGTGTGTCAGAGGCATGAATCCCACCTGGGTCCTGGGCGCTTCCAGCGCTGGCTTCACCGGTGTCACCTCCCGGGGGGCTGCCAGGGGCCGCCCCGGGACCGGGACCGTGGGGAGGTAGGTGCCCCAGCCCCGGGACGGCTGAGACCGTGGGGACGCGTCGGGGAGCGGGAGATGCTGGAGCCATCACGGATGGTGCCCATCGTGGGAGTCTGAGCCCGGGGCAAAGGGGTACGCCCGGGCACCTTGGGGCAGAGCAAGAGCTCTGGGTGCTCCCGGGACCCGCTTTCTGTCTCTGGGTCCTTGTGCCACCCTGGGCCTCTGCCACGCCAGTGTAGTGTGTGCTGGGCCATGTGCCGTGTTCAGGGGGTCCTGCGTGGAGGCGCTTTGGGATCCCTGGGCAGAGCCCCTTGTTCAGGGGTTGAGGAAAACCCTTCTGCCACCCACCCCATTGCCTAGTGGGGGCAACGGCTGGGGGGTGTCGGTGCTGTCAATGGCTCCACCGAACCCCCTCCTCTCCCTGTTTCTGTGTCCCGTGCCACGCTGGCGCCACATTCCAGTAGGCCCCGCTCTTGGCAGCCCCTGGGTGCGAGTTGTCCCCTCTCAGTTTGTCTCTGCCCCTGCCAGGATGCACCAACCTCAGAAGAGCTGGAGCAGTTCGCCAAGGACCTCAAGCACAAGCGTATCATGCTGGGCTTCACCCAGGCTGACGTGGGGCTGGCTCTGGGCACCCTCTACGGTAAGGGGCCTCCTGTGAAGGGCCTCATCCCCCCCACACCCGGGGGGAAGGGAGAGGCCTGGGAGGGGGACGGAGCACCTGAGCAATGCAGATCTCTTCTCCTTAACGAGCTGCAAAGCAGGTGGCAAGCACCAGCCCCAGGGCTCCTAGGGCTCCCCAGCCCTGGTTAAGTACTCAAGCTGGAAGGGTTTGATAAGAAGGAATTGGTGTAAAATAGCTACAGCTTCTTGTTGAGGAGTGTTTCAGTGCTTTAAATACCTCCTGAAGCAGCAGGGAGAATGCCTTTCCTGTTCCCCTAGGGACAGGGGATGCTGGAGGGGGGGGATCCTGGGGGGCCGCTGGGGGTGGGAGATGCTCAGGGGCAGGAGCAGTGCGTGATGCCCTGCCGGCCTGTGCAGGGAAGATGTTCAGCCAGACGACCATCTGCCGCTTCGAAGCGCTCCAGCTCAGCTTCAAGAACATGTGCAAGCTGAAGCCGCTGCTGCAGCGCTGGCTCAACGAGGCGGAGAACACGGACAACATGCAAGAGGTATGGGGCTGGGGAGGGCTGGGAGCCGGGGTACTGCATACCAGCAAGCCCTCGAGCTGCAGCTTCTCCTCCATTTTACACGTTTGGGAAAGAGGAGGGGAGCAGCAGGCATCCCATGCCGTTGCAGCATCTTCCTGCCATGGCTTCAGCCTGGCTGTGTGGGGAGCCACTGGGTATCAGCTTTACCACGCTGGGGGGAGCCCAATTTGCCCCACAGACACCTTGTGACAGCTGTGGCAGAGCAACCAGGTCCTGCTGGAGTCTTGGATAAGCTGGAGGTGCAGCCTGCTGCTCCCCGGGGAGCCTGGAGGGGTGTAGGAAGATGTGTCCATTGCCCCTGCACCAGCTACAGGCGGGTGCTGGGACACTGCAAATGGTCCCGGTTGCAATGGGGTGATGCTCAGTGGACAGTCTTGAGACTAAGCCTGTCCCCATCCCTACTAGACCTCTGCAGCCAGCCCCATGTGTGTCCAGAGCGTGCTGGGGACATTGCTAGCCCTGTGGCCAAGGTTGTGGCCTCTCTCTCATTTCCAGATGTGCAATGCGGAGCAAGTGTTGGCCCAAGCCCGGAAGAGAAAACGCAGGACCAGCATTGAGACCAATGTGAAGGGGACGCTGGAGAACTTCTTCCGCAAGTGTGTGAAGCCCAGTCCCCAGGAGATCTCCCAGATTGCTGAGGACCTCAACCTGGACAAAGACGTAAGTTGGGAGGGTTTGCAGTGTGGGTGCCCATACGGCTGCCGTTCCCAAGCACCCATGCCAGGCCAGTTTGATACTGGAAGCCATGGGGGCTGGTAGCCACCATCAGCCTGTTCGAGCCCAGCCCCCAGAGGAGCTGTGCATGGCAGGGAGGGTGCTGTGCAGGCAGGGCAAGGTGCTGTGGAGATGCCACCAATGGAAGGGTCTCCTTGTCCACCCACACAGTGCCAGGGCTTGCCCCCCTCACCCTTCCCTGTCTCCCCCTCCCTCACAGGTGGTCCGGGTCTGGTTCTGCAACCGGCGTCAGAAGGGCAAACGGCTGCTGCTGCCCTTCGGCAACGAGGCGGAGGGGGTGATGTATGACATGAACCAGTCCCTGGTGCCCACTGGCCTGCCCATCCCGGTGACGTCCCAGGGCTACAGCCTGGCGCCCTCCCCTCCTGTCTACATGCCGCCCTTTCACAAAGCTGAGATGTTCCCTCAAGCGCTGCAACCTGGGCTCTCCATGAGCAACAGCAGCCACTGAACCGGGGGCTGCGGGGCCGGCAGCAGTGCCGCCCCGACACTGCGGCTGGGCTGGCTCTCTGGGGGAAGCTTCCACCGTTCGCCCTGAGAAGGCATGGGCACGGCCCCGCTTGTGCTCCCAGGGCCTGCCTGGGTGCTCGCTGGGCTGCCCGAGGGCTTTTGGGGTGCCCTTCCCAGTTACACGAATTTACTGGTCCCAGCAGCATTGGCCCCCCTCTGACCTCTCCTGGGGGGCAGCTGCTCCCACCCCACTGTACCCCACCGAAGC